CTGTGCATTTACATCTGCTCCCTTGTCTATGAGCAGCTTTGCAATAGCCTCATAGCCCCCATTTAATGCTGCCTGGAGTGCATTTCCATATTGGCCTCCTTGTGCATTTACATCTGCTCCCATTTCTAGCAAAGCATATGCTGCTTCAGTTAATCCAGCAATTGATGCATAATATAGTGGTTTTGCATTCTCAACCCTCTGTTTTCGCTGATTCCAATGATAATGGTAATCCCCATTATAAAGCTGGACCCAGTACACAAAAGCAGTATTTTCCTCTGTTAGAAGCTTCATCATCAATGCAAGTACTGACTGAGATTTAGTTTTGTTACCAGAATGTGCATGTATCATCCAATGTTCTGCAGCATACTTTGCAAGAGGGAAGGATACATCCACATTCCTATCAAGGGGCTCAGATGTATGGATTTGCAGGAGATAGACAAGACAGATCTGAGATATGACAGAGTGTGACAGGCTCTCATTAAAGCTGAAGTCTCTGACTTGCTTGATGACATGGTGTTTAATATACTCAGATATGAGATATTCTTTGACAGAAAAATGGGAAAGTTTGATAAAACCTATTTGATAGTCAGTCCTCATTTCAATCTGGTATTAATCTAAACCATACCCTCTGATTTCATAACAAAACTGGAACATATTTTCAAGACCTCTTTAATATCTTGAAATTCATTGTCTGATTTGTACTCTGGTCCATTCTCAGCAGAAAGATCAACTGCGGCAGTCATAGCCAGCTCTTCCAGTGTCAGTGGACGAACAGCAAAAGACAGCCACTGTAAAAATGTTTTGGCATATGGACAATCTTTTTTCTTGATTTCCAGCAATATTCGATCATATGTTTTATCCAAACCCTCAGGTAGATCATTTAGCTGTTTATTTAGATCACTCTTGGTCCGGCACTCTTTGAGCTCATTTAGCTGTAATGCAACCCAACGAAACCTAAAATTACATTCAGTAATCATCCTGTCAGTCAGATGTTAATGATAAACACACATTCCATCTGCTTTTCCCACCAATGTACACTTTATTTGCTCTTGAGCATCAGAATTCCATTTTTGCAAGCCAGAGTCATTCTGAAGCTGATAGTCAAGATAGGTGACAAGATCATGATTCTCCAATTCCTCAACCAAGTTAAGATAATGACAAGACTTGAACTTGTCCTCAATCTCCTGTTCTGGGCGACTAGTAACTATCAAGTGAAGCCCAAGATTCATATTGTTCTTCAATATAATAGTCTCAATCCAGTTAAGAAGCTTTTCTCTTTCAGTACATTCATCAAGAGCATCCAGAATAATGAATGTTGAACTGAAGCCAGCAACAATTCTCTGAAGAGTATCCTCCAGATCATCCAGATTTGGCTCACGATGGCCATCACCACAGCGAGCATATAAGTCCACTAAGACTTTAGGCACTCTACCCTTACATTTGAGAGACAATTGCCAGATGAGTGATCGCAGAAGTTGATCATGTAGCTGGAAATCCTTCTGTGAATCTCTCCCATCAAAAAAGAAATATGCAGTAGCAGAATTGAATCTTTGAAGAATATTGTGAATTATCACTGAGCTGTAAAAAGAAATTTTAATTCAATGTCATAAAAATGTTGGAATTCTCAACCTTAGAATGGTTTTCCCAGAACCAGCTGGGCAAACTGTCAATAAATATAAATTTACTAATTTTTACAGAAGACTTACATTTTCCTTTGATCCAGAGGAAGCCAGGCTGTTTGAGCCACCCAGAAAATATATGTCCATTGAGAAACCATTGACAAGTGTCTGGTTGACCCTTCAGAATTGCACGTGCATCATTGTAGTTAATAGACTCTTTAGGTGGAGAAAGCCACTTATAAATCTCCTTCCCTGTGATAAGAAAATTGAGTCAATTATACATTTGAAGTAAGAGCCTGCAATAGTACTCAGTTGTTCATCCCTAATCATCACAAGTGTGATTTGGATATTTGGGTCCACACCTACCACTACAAACAACATTAAGATGAATATGATGATTTTCTTACTACTTACCTTGATTGATGGTACCTATTAAAACATAGGTAAAAGCAATAAATGTGATGATTCAAATGCAACAAACCATAATTAGGGCCTGTGTTCACATTTTGAGCTGAAATGTTGTATGTAACAGCTTGAAGGTTTGTTGAAAACTCTGCATAGTCTGTCAGATTTAAGCAAGCCTGAAGTATATTTATCAGAGTACTGACCGGGAGGCATCACTTCTGCATTCACAGCAGAATGAATGGGTAGAGATGTAGGCCAGCCAGAACTTGAAGGATCTATACAGAGTTATCAGAAATGGAATATACAAATTTGGAGCAAACATGAACCAGTCAAGATAAGAGAAGAATGTTGCAACAAATTAACAGCTCCTTGCATGGAGCCTTCTACCTGATCAACTGTGAGATTAGAATTGATGTCAACATCAACTGTATGGCGAACAGATTGAGGGGTATCTCACAGGCAGCAGTCATTTCAGTCCCCATATTCAGAACAGGAGCAATTGGGGGAGAGGTAGGCAGGTGAGAACTCAGGACATCTACATCAGTGTTACAAATGATGAATGATAGAGGTTTGAGGTTGATGCAGACCAGGGGAGATAGGTAAAACTTGCTGGGTGCACTCAACCACTCCTTCCCCAAAGACTTCAACCGGATCACCTGTAAATTTGATATTCAATGTTCAGTTCGGGACAGAATATCTTACTGGTGACTGGCATGGCTATGTCCGCGGCACGGATGGTCAAAGATGGAGTTATCAAGATAGGCGGGTCAGAGCTGGGGCGGACTAAATCATTGCTAGCGATGTCCACCGATCGAGGCGCCGTCCTTGAGCGTGATCTTTTGATCGCTTTCTTCAGACTAGAAAACGGTTTGAGGAAAGGGTGATTGGTTGAGGTAGACATTGTAACACGACAAGATGGAAGTTAAGAGGAAGATGCGCAGGGCGTGGCGCCTCTTTGGGTGTGGCTATGCAAAACGACAACTCCGCTTTCCCAAGCCCTAAACATGTCATGCCTATGAGCGCTTGAGCCCTCCAACTTGCAAAATCGTTCTTGTTAAGTCGATGTTGTCTCTGTTCGGCCTTCGATGAGGGTACGGCTTTCAGTTTTGATGCACCCACAACTCCGCCCCGAATCCCCCCGGAGTTTCATGACAGTCGGCCAATGTTTCGTCTCTCGGTCGTTCAGCCACTGCCGACATTGCTTGGAGATCCTCATGCAATCAAAACAAAACCCGATGGCCGCTTTCGTCAGCATGTACCAATATAGAGAGCTATTGAGATTCAAAGGATGCGCGAAGAGTTGGTACATGGGCTTCATTGCGCAAGTAAGTGCATCAGCTCTGAGTGAGTTCCTCCTTCTATCAGATTTGCTCCCTTCTGTCCTAGCTCGCTTCCCCCTTCTGTGCTGCACCCAAATTCCCCCCCCCCTGCTGCTTTTGCTGCATATCCCCGTTAGTCTAATATTCTGATAATTCTGTGACAGTTCCCGTCCTCTCAACCTCGTTGACGAGCGCCATCTTCTAAAGCTTAGTACCGCAAACCACTGGTACGAAGGTTGAAATCTTCAAATTCGGATGTTTACTTAGTCCTTACCTGGTGCTTACGGTATAGACAGGATTAGAAATGACTCCAATTCCAACTTTGGACTCCCACCGGGCGACACCCTCGAAGCTACTGTGCATATGACGGAGGACCTCGTTGGCTCAAGTTGATCGTGAGTATTTCTTTCCTACAGGTTGACAACGTCTGCTATAAGCCGCCTTTCCATTGCAGACACGTGGCTGGCGTTACCGCGCCCAGCTCGACGACGCTAGTACACTCCCGAAAAGCTCCACACAATATGCTAGGTCACTGCCGCGCCCTGATTATAATCGCGAGCTTCAGTCGGAGAGCTGGAGAGTCGGGATAGCGGCCATCTTCCCTTTGGTAAGTTATCGACCTTGCGTTACTTATTCATTCCCCTTCCTCAATCTTTGGATTGCTTATCACCTCGCATATATTCGACCTTTTGCCTTGCTGACTGCCCTCATCCGCTACTCAGGACCTGGTCCCACAACATCAACGCAAGCCCCATTTCGATGATCGTACCGTCTTCCCTACGCCCCGTGGCCCGCAAGACTCGGCCACTTGGCCATATCTCCTTTGGTTAGTTATCGCCCTCGCGTTACTTATTCATTCGTTCCCTTCTCCCTTCCTCGACTTCTGAATTCCTTATCACCTCACATGTATTCGGTCGTTTAGCTCGCTAACTTCCCCCATCCGTTACTCAGGCGCTGATTTCACAACACCAACGCGAGCCCCACTTCGTACATAGGTCCACCATGGCCCGCACGACCCGGCCACTTTCATTCCTTCGTGCATCAACTCAAAAAGGAAATATCACCATGGTTTAATCCTTCTAATGCACTCACCTCCATAACGTGCCCGTTGAACCAACATCAACTCTTTGCCAGTGGCCGGCAGACCTCTCACATGCATCGATCGTCTGATCGGTTGCACGTAACCATATCGTTTTTCAGTCATTCTCCTCTGCCAAAGCTTCACCAGTGTCAAGAGCTTCTCAGTTACCCCATGTTCGACGCTCTATGTGTCGTTACATGCAATACCACCCAATCTCTGCCCGTAACACGAGCAATCGTTGTCTTTGGACCCAGCGTTCGCATCGCGTAGATTCCCCGTCGTGCGCATTCATTCGCAGCTCGTGGTCGCCATGGGCTGCCGCAACGTGACACATACAGTTGTACCCATCTTGTACGTTATTTGACGCGGCCGACGATGCTTACTGACACTTGCCTTCTTTTTCCATTGTTTCACAGCTTATATCAAACTCCTGAGGGCAAAGGCCTGGGGTGAGAAACACCAGACTCATTGGGGGGTCCTTGCCTCTTCTCGCGCGGACTACAACCTCGATGGAGGATGGGGGACATGGCTATTGCGCGGAGGTAAGTGATACTTGAGTTCTTCGGATGTGTTGGGTTAGTACTCAGAAAAATTGTGCATAGGTTTGTTTGGGATGCTCTGCTTTTGCTCCAGAGGAAGGAGAGTGAGCGTAACATCTGTAAAACCTAGATTTTGGTAGCGAGAACGCGATAGCAGTTGGCGGGTCAGTCGCAGCATGTTTTGCGCCCTTCCTACCAATATTTCTTCATTGAAAACAAAGAATTGAGATTGCTTACGATGGCTATTTTCTACATTAAGGATTACGTGCAACGGTGGTCTAGCATTACGATGCGTGAACAATTAATATTTGAACCACGATGGAGATAGCCTTCCATGCTATGCGTCAGAGAGTAACTCAATCCTACTGACTCTCGAGCGACACGAGCCTCCTTCAATGGTCCGTTCGCTTCGGTACTGTCACATACTTTCCACCCTCCATAAACTTGACAACCGCGCCATCTCTCCAGGGGATCTCCTTCATATTCGGGCACGTCTTTAATATCTCTTTAGCAAGTTCTGGCTCTATCTCCGAGCCCTTGGCTCCAGAAGGTGGCCATAGGCATATCCCATTGACCATCGTGAGGCGTGGCCAATTGGCAAGGAAGGGTAACCAGGAGGTGTGTGGGGTCGGGTTGTCATACTAGTGCATGTCAGTCAGTATGATGCTTAGAGTAGGAAGATGCGTACGTACAACGGATTTGATCAGATACGGAGGTGTCGATAGCGATTCCAAGTTTGGGGTTAGCTTTGCTAGCGCCTCGAGCTGGTCCACTTCTGTGAGGTTCCGAAGGGATAACGATTTTAGATTTCTCATCTCTCTCAGCCTAAAAGCGCGTTCCAGTCTGATGTTGTCATCTTCATATACGTTCGCCAGCGGAAGTTCGCTCCACGTGTCAAAATCAGCCACTGGGGACTCAATTTCAACCTCAGGCGCATCCCAATCACGCGGCTCAACACCCGTGAGCTCTGTAATCGTCGAGTAGTCGGGAACACCACACAGAATAGGACGGGCCAGTTTGGGGTGGACAGCGAGACGCGTAAGATTCGGCAGCGCGTCCTTTTTCAAGCCTGTCATATCCAATTCAAAGTTCTGTGTGGCCCTGTCGACAGAAATTGATAAATACGCAGCAAAAAATTGGAGTGTGGGGTGCCTATTCAAAAACTGCGTAATGACTTGTTTGCCAACAACCACATCGCCAAGTTGGAGGGAGGTTAGGCGGGGCCATGTGATCCCTGCAAGAATGGAGGAGATGTCAGTGAATGGGTCCCCTCCATAGATTATGTAGAAGCTGTGATCGTATATCTCCAGCGCTAGGAACTATATGAAGCAATTCAAAGTCGGCCATGATGGAAGAGCTTGTACAAGACCCCACCTCAAGATCTGGACATGAGTGCAGGAGTGCTTGCAGTCGATCAGTATTGATTCTAGGAGGAAAGTTGATGTCGGAAGAATTGTCCGAATCATCGTCTTCGGTGACGCCTTCCGCCTCGTTGAATGGTGTATAGTCTATCTTCAACTCCACATGTGTGAGGTTTTGAAGGGTATACATCTACCGGAATAGTTTTTGCATAGACCCAAAATGAAAATATAGGAACACGTACGGAGCTATCAAAGATAGACAAGGTATTTGCAAACATCGTTTGGTTTCGCCCAAGATCCGTGACTATCAGTTTCTTCACTTGGGTGCGGTCCCTCAACGCAGTCCATACGTCTTCGGAGTAAACTTGAGGTGGCACATCTCCAGATGGCACCAATCCAAACAACGGCAGCACCTCTTGTCCCACATTGATCAAAGGAACCTTACGATCCCAAGTAAAGCTCTCGAGATTGATGAGCACGCGTAGAGCCTGAATCAACAGCCTTTCAGATTCCTCCACGTCAGCTTCTGTCACTCTTCCTGAAGGCACCGTGCACCGTAAGCCATGGATAAGAACCCGTTCCATTTCCTTCTTATCCAACAGACCATGCGCATTTTCCCTTAAAATCACGAGCTCCCGCACCCGAGACGCCAATGCTGGGTTCTCCGCCAGGAACCTCCAAAGCGCATTGTTCCCCAAGTGCGTCCTGATAGAGCGATAGCGCAATTCTGGCATGCCAAGACGAAATAGATCACAGCTGGTAAGTGCCACTGCGAGGAGGTCGGCCGGAAAAGATATGAACGTCAGGAGGTGGGCGTAGACGTCCAGGTTCAACGCCGTGGTCATTGTCAAGCTCTCTGTCGCATCTTTCATGGTTCAAGTGGAGCGCCGTTTGAAGAGCTTTGGGGGTGATGAAAGGACCGTCCGGATCCATGAGTTGAGGTGGTTTATGACAAGATGGCCCTGACGACCAACTTCAAACAAGGTGCCAATTTGGTGCCAACTTGCGACCAGTCCCAGAAACAACAATTACTGGACTACTACATGTGACTGGACTACTAGACATGTGTACGGGGATCCGTAGAACTGAAGACACAAACAAGGTGCAATGTGGACGTAGGTATGTAGATTCTAAAGGCCAATCATTTCGGGGCCTTCGACGGTATTGGCACGGCGTTGCAAGTTATACCTGATCACTCCATCCAGCAACCATGTAAGTGCCATCCTTGTGAAGCTGCACGGCTCTCTGCAGCTCTTTCTGGCGACAAATCTGATTTACGTTGATCCGCATCGAGAACAAAAGGTGACCACTAGATCTGGGATTGGAGCGGGTGAAGACCCACAGGAAACCATCCAGACAAGGGATCGAAAGCAGCCAATCGCAGACTTCCACCTGGGCAACCGTTAACTACTCCCATAGCTTCGGAGACGGCCAACCAAACATAGGAGAAGTCGGGGAAATGGGACCCAAGTCGACAAGAGTCAGATAACTCCCGGTTGCGGGAGGTTGAGACGAAAAGGTTCGAAGTAGTCAAAAACGCTGATGAGGAAAGCAGTTGATCCTACAGTAACACACAACTCCAACTGCGAAGATCTGGTGTTCTTGGGAAGGTAGTTGATTTCGAAGGGACTCGGGAGCCTTGGAAAGCCCACATGGTTCTCGACACCGGTCTGGCTCACGCAGATGGTTACTCAAGTTGACGTTACCAGAGCACATCGTCCATAGTAAGGAGGTTTCCACGATTACGGGGATATGTACTTAGATCAAAGCCTCCAGCTCGGCTCAGGGGCTGATCCCAGACAGCCAGAGGAGCAGGGGTATGTGAATTGAAATTACGGCTCCTTTGTTGCTTCAACAAACTGAGGATGCAACCGTAGGAGCAACGGTTACAAGAAGGTGTACCCAAGGTGTACCAGCCTCACTTGTGGCCGATAGCACCCCATTGATTGACCAAAACGTAAGATGAGGAGCAAGGATATGGAAGTCGACTGGGAGTGTAATGATGGATAGTTGGGGTGTAGAACAGATTTATTATGGTCTCGAGGACGATGACAACCGTACAGCACTTCCGGAACGAGACATCATAGTGCTGAACGGAGAGAGACCCAGAACAAAGACCAGTATTAGAGGGCCGAAATCGCGCCCATCATCTTTAGATACGTTGACGGTGAGCTGGCAGCACCCTTTCCCTTCGGCCCAACAAAACCCGCCAAAGTCCTTGCGCCCCCAGCACGACCAGCTGCATAGTCCGCTATGTACCTGGTAACGGTACCTTCTTTCATCCCCGACAGGCGGACAACCTCAGCCACAGCCTTCTTGTCTTTCAAGCTCTGGTCGAGGTCAGAGGAAATGCATGAATACAGGACACCAAGGAAAGTTTGGGTGCGCCCGTTGGCAACCAGTTCGGACGGATTGGTGAAGTATCGATATCGTTTTGGCAAGAACCGGATGCGGGAGTGGAGGGGTTTGACTTCTGGGCCTGTCGTTCCCGGGTGTGACAGGTCAAGACCAATACGCGGGGAGTTGTATATCTTCAAGCTGGGGCTGTGAGGAGAGTGCTTGAGATAGAGTTTAAAAGATGGGGCATCGGCGCCAGGAATAGCACTATGGAGAAAGGCAGTCCTCTCTCCTGCCCACTTGGTCTCAACCAACTCGGAAATCGAGGCTGCCCCGCTGAGTAAGAGGATTTGGTCGACTAAGAGAGAGGGTCCTGAGATCACTTGGGGCTTTGGACCGAGTTTGCGGATGGATCTAAGGAGAATGCCACCGCGTGGCAAGGGTGGTAACTCCTGGCTGGAAGACAAGTCCGATGGCCCAGGAGCGCTCGGAGTGGTAGCAGAGGGTGTGAAGTATGGAGACGTGGTGGTGATGGATGGAGAGGGGCCACCAATGGTCACATCCATACCCTTCCTCGAGCCACCTCTGTAGTAGTCCGTTAGACTGGTAGCGCTGCGGTTTGAGTCTGCGGAGCGACGTGGAGGTCGATGAAAGTACCTATCGTCGATTTAGTATACGAGCCCACGTTCAATTAGATTCAGCGTGGACAATGCTCACCACCGCCCACAGATTTTCTGCTCCTCGCCTCCATGGGTATATGGGTCCTCATGGCATCCAGCTTTCTGCAGATAAAATTCCAGCTCTAGAATCTGGAACTCCGTTTCAACGTTTTCGCATTTTAGAACAAGGTGGAAGTCGCGTAGAAGGGTGTTGGCTACGACGTCAAAGCGTGCCTTTATGCATTGCTCGTCGGAAAGGTGCGAGAAATCCAGTAGCTGTTGAAGAGACTCTTCAGTGATGGAGGTGAGCTGGTTGTGGCCATCGTTCGATGTGACGGTTTGGTCACTGGCTTGCACGTTGAACCCCTGGTTTACTTTGGATTTCTTCGCGACCGCAGCTACCTGGATATCGTCTGCGTCAAGAGCCCTCTTGTTCATCCGACGATGACCGTCGAAAGCAAAATTTAGGTACCAAACGTAGCAGGACCGAAAAGAGGAAGAACCAAGCTTGAACCAAGCCTACTTTTGGAACGTTGAGCCAACGTTTATGGCGCAAACCCAAAACTCTCAAAAATTCTGACGGTATGTAAATGGACATCTGGGACACCAATTAATGAGATGGTAAATTTAGGTAACTACATCCCATCCAAAACGATATAGCCATAGATGGTTTGGATGATCATGACGATGAAACGACGAGAGCAGATTCAGAGGGCTGAAATCGCACCCATCATTATCAAATACGTCGAAGGCGAGCTCGCAGCACCCTTTCCCCTGACCCCAATGAAATCCTCCAACAATTTCGCGCCCCCCGCCCGACCACCAACAAAGTCCGCCAAGTACTTGGTAGCAGTCCCTTCTTTCATTCCGGACAGTCGGACAACCTCAGCTAGCATCTTCCGGTCCTTTAACCCCTTATCAATATCAGAAGGGATGCGTGAATACACGATCCCTAGGAAAGTCTGGGCGCGCCCGTTGGCAACGAGCTCAGATGGGTGGGTGAAATATCGATAACGTCTTGGCAAGAAACGGATGCGAGAGTGGAGGGGTTTGACTTCTGGACCGGTAGTTCCTGGGTGGGACAGATCGAGACCAATACGGGGAGACTTGTATATCTTTGAGCCCGAGGAGTGTGACTCTCCTCCCTTAAAAAATCCAGCTAAAGATCCTGGCTGGGCCTTGGATGGTGAGTGTTTAAAATAGAGCTTCACAGATGGGGCGTCGGTGGCGGTATTGGCGTCGGGGAGGAAAGCGGAGGTGTCTCCTGCCAGCTTCGTCTCGACAAATTCAGCCACGGAGGCTGCTCTGCTGAGTGACAGGATTTGGTCGACTAATAGTGAGGGACCTGAGATGACTTGTGTGTTCGGACCAAGTTTGCGAATGGATCTGAGAAGAATGCCACCGCGTGTTTCTTTTCCTCGGCTGGCAGCCACGGAAGGCCCGGGAGTGCTGGAGGTGATGGAGGCAGGTGCGGAGTCCGACGTGGCGGCAACGGGCTGAGGGGGACCACCGAAAGTCAAATCCAAGCCTTTCCTTGAACCAGTTCTGTACTCCGTCAGACTGGTGGAGTTCAGATTCGAGTTTGTGGATTGACGTGGTGCACGATGAAAGTACCTGTAGATGACTTGGTTAGTAAATGTACGTTTCCTGAACTGAGGGCAATGCTCACCATCGTCCGCTGACTTTCTGCTCCTCACTCCCATGGGTAAACGGGTCCTCATGACAGCCAGGTATTCGCAGGTAAAACTCCAGCTCTAAAATTTGAAATTTCGTTTCCACGTCACCGCATTTCAGAACGAGGTGATGATCGTTTAGAAGGGCACCGGCAAGGACCTCGAACCGCGCTGTTACGCTTTCATCATCGGAGAGCTGCGACAAATCCAAAAGTTGCTGGAGGGACTCGGTGGTGATACTTTGATTCGCGATAGTCTTGTTACTCGCATCAACTTTGGGTCTCTTCACGGCTTTGGAGATCTGCGAATCACCAGCGTCTACGTCGAGATTCCTCTTCATTCTTGACGGTGACGAGCCAATGGCGGAAGATTCCAGATAAATGGACCATTCTCAGTCTTGGTTTTATGGGCGCTGGTTAAAACAGGGTTGACGGGAAGCGGGAATTTGACAGGAGTTGACAAAAATGACTCGCCCGCCACTTTCTATTTTCGGTAAAATGCCGGTTTCCCGTTGGTTTCCCGTAGTTGGAAGTTGGAACCAAGAGCGCCAAGACTCGGTCTCCGGTCACAAAATTCGGATGGTCAACTTGAATATGTATTGCTTGAATACACCATCTTACACCATTCATGAAATCATAAATAAATGGGCTCCTCTTAGTTAAAATTCAGCTTTAATTCTTGAAGATTTGTCAATCCAGTTTCAAAAAGCGTTCGGTCGTCATCCCCATGCTGATAAATTTACATCGCAACGTCTATAGTGAGCTGCTGTACGTCCGTTCCTCTTAATCCATGCAGGCAATCCACAGCAACGCCCAGGTGATACAGCTGAAGTAAAGATGAAACGGAATCCACACTCCGAAAGCAGACTGTGCGGAGACGAGCGGGGGGTGGATGTACCCCCGACGTGATAAGTTGCATGTTTAACCGGGAACAAGCCATTTGAATGATACCAGGAAGGGCATCACCCAAACCCCTTTTTCGTACTGTTAACAATTGCAGGTTAGGGAGGAGATTGGGAACATCTGACTCGGGAGAGTTGTGAGGAAGTGTCTTCCACACAAGGTCATTCATGATCAGGTTCAGAGCATTAGAGTCCTGTCGGATGGAGATGTCAAGTGATTCAACCAACGGGACTCCTTCAAATGTGTCTTTCATGTCTTCCGCGGAAATGTGTTGTAATCCAAGATGAGTTATTGCTGCGGATGAGCGATCTATGAATGCTCTCAAAGTCTGCCCGAGTGAATCCGACTGAGGCGCAACAGAACGTAATGGCTCGGAAACGATGGCTCGAAATCGGGATAAGCTGGGGGCTGTCAATAATTTGGCAATGTCGCAAATGGTGGCTTCGGAGTCTGAAAGTGTTAGGTCTCTGAGATGCAGTAAACACAATGATTGCGTTACTGAGGCGCCATACGACCAAATCCCGGAGAGATGTGCATGTGTGAGGGCCGACATTTGATCCAAAGCTGGATGGAGATCGATGATGTGAATGTGCTGTGCTCTAAAATGCGTGAGTTGGGACCAGGGCATATTGACCAATCTAGTGGCGGGCGTGAAACAACCTGATAGTTTGAGATAAGTAAGTTGAGGAAGGTTGTGCGGAAGACGACAGAGTGGAGTGTTTCTTAGTTTGTCCGAGAGTGTAAGGCGTTTGAGGCGGGATAAGGCCATTACATCCGAGCTCTTTATGGAATTAAACAAATCAAGGTCAATTGATAACTCATCCCAACGACCAGAGAGATTTGACGCCATGAGCCGCACGATGGTAACAAGGCCTTGGAATTCTCTGAGATCCTTTACGCTCAACTGAGGAGTGATGGACATGCAAACCGGACGTGTGCCGGACTGGCTGTGGGCAAGATTGACGAAACGCAAGTAGATGTGGAGCCTTTCCCTTGGGGAAAGCGCGGGCATAGCGTCGAGGTCTAGCTCAACTCTGCGCCATAGGTCGGAAGTTGTCGACGCGACCGCGCGCCAGTGGGCAGAAACATGGCCGACTTTAAACGGCAACCATTCTATGTTGGCCGTGCTCACAAAAGGGAAGCATAAGGTGAAGATCTTCTGAAGGATCTCCACAGGGAGGCGGCGAATGGGAGCTAAAAGTGCTTTGTTACGATCGACGCGCAGCTGAATCGCTTGTCGCCGACGCTGGAGATCAAGGAGCGTTGTTTGGAGCTTGGATAGTTCCCTGTCAAGAAAGTCGATATCGACGTCGTCGTGACGGACAATCTCTTCAATCTCATGTCGGGTATCTGAATCTGGCGTGGTATTTTCCCGTAGCATCTCTAGGGTCGGCGTCGCATAAGATGAGTCCTCGAAGGCCCGACCACTGATCTGGCCACATCTTTCGCAGATTATGGAAGGAATCCTTCAAAATTCATCAAGATAAGGGAGATTCGACATGAAGGAAAACTTGCTGTATCATGGTCTCTCGATGTGTAGTATGTTGCCGCAAGGGAAGGTGACACCTTCTGGTAATATAAGAACCTCAAGACTGCCTCTGGTGAAGTTGCCGCAAGGCAAGGTGCCTTGAAGCCTGAAGGCTGAGGCGATGCAAAAAACTGTCAACGTCAGGATGTATCACAAGGTGAACCGTCAATGTGACAAATTTCTCATCGCCCAACGGCACGACCGGGCCACTCAGCCTCACTCAGCCCGATGCGCTCGTCGTTCCACGCTCAACATCGGTAAGTACTCCACCGCGCACTCTGCTTTGTTTGCCACTCATTTATAGTTCAGTCTGGCACCGATATTCCTACTTTCTTGTACAGCATCAATACAGCATTTGATTTATATTGGTATTAAATCTTTTTTAGCACTTGTTCAACTTTATAGGCTATTGTGTGGTGTCTGGAACCTCCAATAGCCCGATTTGGGCTACTAATTCTGAAAGTGGTAATTGTTCGGAGGACATCTCTGAATTCGAAAGTGCGGCGATCATTGTGCGGCAGATCTGTGCGGCGATCCAGGTCACGTGTCTGTTTGCCAAACAATTGAGACGCGTCAACACAAGTCCAACTTACAAGCGCGACGTGTTTACCTTGCACGCTCAGCCGGAAAACACACTTTCATAGCTTTAGACTATAAAACAAGTACATAAATGTAACTACACATTTCGGCCAGGAAGATCGGGAGTATGGGATACTGCATTATACACACTACCTACTGTCATGTGGCTGACCAGCCACCCCTGCCCCGAGCGTGACATCAGCGACTCTCGCAGCACCCTCAGTCCGACTCTATCCACAGCTGTTGGTATGTCCCACCCCGATGTCGGTGTGAATGGGGTTGCTGGTGGAAAAAGATCCAGAAGGCAGGCCGAGTGCGTGGCTACAATGGTTATCACATATAAATATTAATACTTTGATCCGCAATGATTTTGAGAGGGCATTGTTGGGCGTGCGCGTGAGGCTTCGTGAACAGGAATTTGCAGAAGCAAAAGTCCCGTGACATGCTCGGCGGAGGTTCCCGCCGCACAGTAGCGCACAGTGCGGCGGTTTTGTCGCCGCACTTTCGAATTCAGAGATTTTCTGATTGTTCGCACAGCCTCCTTCCACTTTAGAATTTAGTACAAATCTGGCTATTGCTGACGGATTTGGCTATTTGTTCACACGGCTTACATCTCTACTCAAAAATTCATTCTCCTCATTGCCACATCCAAATGTCTTCACTTAAAGTGAAAAACTGAACCAAAAAATAGGACATTACAATGGCAGTCATAATAAACAAAAAAATTGTTATGAATCCCCATCAAAAGGTGCTCAAATTAAGAAAATGATATCAGTTACCCTTTTGAAATCTGTAATGCCACTTGGTTGCCAAAAAATCAAAAACCTGACTATTTCAAAGATGATTCCTTCTCTATGCTTCAAAATCTTATAATAAACAACTTCTATAGCAGCCATGAGCAGTCTGAAATTTATTCTACAAAAATGGGCATAATTGTAAGAAAAAAAAGACTGACAATGTGATTGTGAGAGGAATCCATTGGAAAAGGGTTAATGTCAATGTATACAAGTTTCAGAAGCTCTCAAGTCATTGCTGTGTTTCTGCAATGACAAGATGCAGAATTAGCATCAAAAGTGCAGAAAGGCAAATAGTAAAGCAGCATCTGTAGCTGCAATTAGATGCCCATCCTTCAATAGCTAATAATATATCCATGGCTACATAATATGGGCTAAAATTTTGTATCTCGGTACAGTCATCCACCCCTTAATGATACAGTGAAATCATTAAATTCAATTTTCAATTCTAAGCAGCATGTCTTCCCCATAAAAACTGTACAATAACTCTCTGTTAATCAGTATGATCCACCCCTCAAAATTTCAGAAGATTCCATGGTGTTGTTGTGTAGAAATTTATCAAATATGGGTGTATCATTGGGGGGTGAGGGCATTTTCGGCGCAGTCCACGAAACATCCACTTTTGAACATTTTACTGTGGAACCAGAACTTGTTTAATTGACTTGAAATTTTGTGGAAGGATTGTTGGTATGTATATGTAGCTATGACATTTTGTTTAAAAAAAAAACAATGATGATTTGGGGAAGTGATAAAGTATACAAAAGTGTATCAAATGGGGGTGGTGTATCATTCAGGGGTGGATGACTGTAGTTGCATGGAATTTCTTTTACCACATGCAAAAGCAGGTATGCAAGTTTCAAATAAAATGTACCTTAAATGCACCAGACACGAAAGGAAAATTAACAATCAATTTATACAGTGGAGGAGGATGTTAAATGTCAATCTATTCATGAAAGAAAGGAAAGACAGATGATAATTTTCACAAATGTCTTTCTAGAATGGCTGATTGTGCTTGAGCAGGTACTCCTCTCTACCCATCATTCAACAAAATGTAAATAAAGATAACCAACACCTTGCATGAATATTTTAAGAAGAGGGAGAGCTGACTGGATTAGCTATCAGGAAGAGGAAGAGCAAAAAAATACCTCACGGAGAAATTGAACTCAGCACATCAGGCAAAATGAAAGAAATAAGGGTAAATTCCACTAGACTAAATGGCTGTATAGAACAGAGAGTAGTGGTCCACCATGGATTGAATTTTTGAATTTTTGATTCTTTTTAAATTTGGTTCCAGACATGGCACGATAGCCACTTTATACCCTAGAATCACTTACTTCTTGGCTCGTCGCGTGCAAACCAGAGTTGACAGTTCATCTCAGTCAATCAACCACGGATACCCTCTCTTGACCACCACTATGTATGCTACAGAACTACGTGATATAGAGGTGATTCTATGCGATCCTGTCTTGTTGTTTAATTTGGATAATCACCAAACAAGGTGGTGATTTAGTTCGGAAAGTGCAGAAAAAACATCGAGATGGCAAAGTCATAAATACTTACGCTTCAGGCTGTGGTCGGATAAGCTTCCATGTATCCTTTCCTTCAGTTACTGATGCAGACCTACTTCATGATGGTCATTGGCAGACTAACTTATACGGCTACCTAGCGCAATGGTAGCGCGTTTGGCTTCGATGGCTTAACGGTACCAAAAGGTTGCAGGTTCGAGTCCTGCGGTGGTCACTTTGTTCCGAGATTCGTTTTTTTTGGAGGACATAAAGAGCTTCATGGCAAATTTTTCTGTGAAGAATTGAACGTATGCACACCAAGTCGGATACAAATAAAATGATGCAGAAAAGACCAAGTATGCCAAATACCCATAGATCACCAAGGAGAGGCGCACATGGGTACTACTAGTACTGTAGGTAGAGAAATGATATTAGGATGCAAGCATGAACTCGAAAAAGTGAAGGAACGTTGACAGAAGGTTGGAAGCTGACCGCTGAGTCCTAGATTCAGTCTAGTGGCGCACAGTAAAAATTGTGAGGTAGTCCGGGTATTCTTCCTTATCACCAGCGTTTGTTGGTTTGTTGAAGTTGTTGAACGGGAATGAAAGTGGGGTTGAAGAAGGGTCGATGACAATTAGAATTAAATGAAGTATTGCACAGTCACTACAGTGCTTCCAGTGCTTCCAGTGATAGCGATGAGCCAAATTCAAAGCCTTGAGAATGAGCGCTTCAGCTGTAGCTCATGAGGTGACCTAAGAATATCCCATATAATTCCAGTGATGAAGGAAAAGATGGTCTGGGGCGATTTTTTTTTTTCCTGTTTTTTTTTGTACAACTTCCCCGGAGACGTGCGGTAAGACCGACGAGCTCAAGTCATCCCTGGATGCATGAGGAATTCTGTGAGCAAATCTGGAGGGCTGTGATCATGAAAGGTGTGGCATGATGGTGGTGCCAAAACAAACGCTCGATCCCGGCCGGACCGGGCAATGTCAGGCTTATGGATCTTCTTGGGGTTTCATTCCCGAACTCCCACCTTTCCCCGTCTTCGTCGTCGTCCACAACGAGCTACTAGCGACGATAGCGGTCTCAATACAGTTTACAATCTACCCTAATGCCAGCTCCAGTAGTTGTCTACGTTCTCGCGGGTGTCGCCACGGTTGGCGCCGTAATCGCTTTCCATGAGGTGCGCAGCTCTCACTCACATTGCCCCTTCCGACGACTAACAACCCCCCCTATATACCAGTTTGTCTATACGCCCCATATCGCACCGCATGTTGGCAGATGGAAGGCCGATTTCATGGCTAAACACTTTCCTCGTCGAGGGGGTCCTGTGCCTGTCTCGAGCGAGGCCCCCTCTCCCGACGATAGCTCCATCCCCCTGAAGAGACGTGGGGGGAAAGGTTCCGATAAGTCGTCGGACACAGATACCGACTCTGAAGACGATGATAATGATGGCGATCATAACGGCATGAGGCAGCGTCGAGCTCGTGGGAAGGGTTCTGCCGCCGGAATAGCGAGTAGCATTGAGCTCGAAGATCTCGTTGCAAGCGAGCTTCGAGAGTGGAGGAACACCACCAGTGCTACCGGTGATTTCTCGTCTTCGTTCAGGCAGCGCAAGAACCGCGAGGGTGCTGACCACGACGATGTCTTGGGCGAGGTGAGTTTGCTAGGGTTTACCCCTAATGTGTTCAGCTTCATCGTCAACTAACTTTTTTGTCGCATTAAGTCGACCATATCTATCCCGTATATTACAATGTCACCCACGCATGTCCTCGTTGACTCTTCTGCACCAACTACACCAACGTCGACGGGTACACTTCGCAGTCGTATGTCTACTCCAGCGGTTGGATCCTCTCCGCTTCCCGGCTCCTCTCCACCCTTAATGTCCCAAGTCTCGGATTCTCGTGTAACCCTGGTGTCCCCGCCCTCGACCATCTCTTCTTCTCTCACGTCTCCAAATCAATCTTCCCCAGCACAGCCTTCTCCCCTATTACACCCCCTCCTCCCCGAGTACATCCCCTCCCTTTCTCAGTCCTACCCACAAGATCTTGATCACGAACACGGCCTCGAGCTGCTTTCTCCGCCTTCCTCACGCTCCGAGTCGCCTTTCTCCGTCCTGTCTGGGTCTGGGGCAGCCAACTCTCCATGGATGCCCATTCGAGCGACGCCTTCCCCCCTTTCGGCTCTTCGTTCTGGTGCTGGAGCGACGTCTCCGAGTGCCAGACCTACTAACAATAGTCAGTCCCCGCCCCCTGGTTTGCTTCGACAAGGCAGTGACGGATGGACGCCCGCCAACCCAGCCTATCAGCAGCAGCAGCAGCAGCAGCAGCAGCAGAATCAGGCTTTAGAAAGCTCCACTGCGTCTGTAACTTCGCAGTATCACTCCTTCCCGTCCTCTCCAGCCGTTTCTGGATCCGTGTCAACCTTATCTAACCAAGGATCGGGTCTATCGTCACCTTCGACACTCTCCAGCCCACTGCAAGACCAGGCTGCGAGCCAGCGGAGTTTATCTGCCCTTTCATCCCCGTCTCCGATCACCTTCACATCTCCCAATCCAGTGCCTTACATTCCGCAGCGATCTTTCCCTTCCACAGCCGCAGGGCAGGGCACGTCCCTACGCCTGCCTTTATCTGCTTCCCAGCCTCGTTCAACCCTTGTTTTCGGAACGGCTACGGAGAGTGGTGACTCGGAGAAGGAGGAAGGTGAAGGTACACCACGCTCGCCACGATCTCCCGTGTCTCCCCACTTTCGAGGCGGGGGGGATCTCTCGGACTTGGATTTCATGTCAGACTTTGACGAGAGGAGCGATGCTGGTCGAGTGTCTTCCCCCCATGGCTTCTTTGACGTTGGTAATCTCGACCATGGGCGTCTTTCTGCCTCCGGATCTGGAGAGAATCAAGTCTTGTCACCCATGTCCCAGACCTTCTTGGATGTGAGGCAGCATGATGGCGACGATCCCCGTAGTCCGTTTAGCGACTTTGGCGATTTGGAGAGCGAGAATGGGTTCAGTGATAGCGGGATGAGTGACTCTAGTTGGGGGAGTGTGACTGGGGATGGGAATGGGGGTTCGCACTGAGTGTGGAGTTGTGGGTGTTTGGGTGAAGAATAGAGATAGAGAGAAAAGGAAAGATGGAGAAGGACGGGGCGAGATTTCTTCCGAGTCAATCACTGATTGAAGGGGACCCCTGCTTTCATGACCTTTCCTTCGAAACTGCACACACAAACTCCAACCAGGTCAACCTTCTCGGACGACAAGAACATTCCGGCTCCATCGCCTACTTTTACAGCTTTCGTCCCTGGATCTCAGTTATTTATCACTCCTACACTCTTACAGGGCTATCAGATCTCTCCTTCCAGCGCATCTATCTCGTAATTCAGAAGCGGCCCTCCGAGCTCCATCCCTCAAGACGTATTCTCGGCCTTTGGTTCATTTTATACATTTACAGGTTTACCATGGGTTTCCTTTCTACGCATCCACTCTTCCTCGATTGCAATCCTTCAGGGGCGGACCATTCCCCTGGTACATTTCATCTCGCATCATCTTTCCCCGGTCTTCATACAGGTTCCTACTCTTTTGGTGATTCTACGTCCAAGACCTTGCAACCTAAACGCTTTCATCTTTTTTACTCTTTTCAAGGGCAGAATCGCCCTTCATTTAACATCGCTTTGCTGTAAATCTCAACGTTGTACATTTATCCCACCTCTTGCTCTGTAATGTACCATCGTACACCCTGTTCTCTCTTGTACACTGTCACCACAATGCATCCCATCCTATTCTTGTACTGTATCTTCTTTGTCCATCATCGCTGTAACTACCCCCTTTGATTCCTTTAGTTTTGACTGCGAAACCTCCGACTTGAGAAGAATGCAATTCACACCCATCGTGTTTCTTACGTGAAAGGAGAGTTTGTGTTAACTAGAAAGCTACAGTCATTATAGGCTACACTTGAGATAATTAGCCAATGACGATGGATATCGACAAGACGGGGTATAAGCTAAGAATGGGAGAGATCTCAAGCAATCATCCCACATATTATGTACAGTCCGTAAAGTAAGTTGTCGCAAAAGGAGTGTGAAGGCGTATTAGTCGCCAGAGGTGCAAGCCTCCCGTAAAACCGGTGAGGGGAAGCGGGTTTTGCATAACAAAGACAAGGTTGCGCAGCACTAGACAATTACCAAACAAGAAAGGCCTAGTTTGCGTGTGCTGAAGAGCTCAACAAAGGGTGCGCGCGCGGGGGAAGGGGAGCCTACTAAAATTCCATGAATCGAAGTGAAAGCTTTGAGTAACCAAGCGAAAGCAGAGATAGCGTGCCAGAGAAGATTTAAAAAAATAGAACGAAAGTGATCCAGGAATCAAGTGAATGGCGGGAGGTAGCGCATTTACTGTTGGCGCGGGGTGAAGGTGAGTTTGCACTCCATCGCAGCAGGGAAAACGACCTAGTAAAACAATGATCAGTAAATCGAGGAAACCGGCGTTGGATAGGAGGGGCTCACGAAGCTATCCCTAACCTCCATGCTCCTCTCGTTCGTTTCTGCCGGAGCTACCACATCAAAGCTCCTGGAAATCGCCGCAATCGCGATCCGCATGATGACCTGAGCAAGAGTCTGCCCTACACACACCCTCGAGCCGGCTCCAAACGGCATCATATGTTGAGCCATTATGGCCAACTCGCTTTCATTCGTCGAAGATGCCAGCCAACGCTCGGGTTGGAAAGAGTCAGGAGAGGGGAAGATAGAAGGATCACGGTGCATGGACCACGCCTGGGTTGAAACAATAGTACCTGGGGGAAGAGGGTAACCCATCATGTCGAATATCTCGTCCGATGCCCCGTTCTTGGATGTGGAAGCAGGGACCACACGCTCAAGAAGGCTCGGCACAGCAGTGTACAAGCGAAGACCTTGAAAGCGTGAATGCACCGTTATTCTTGTAACTTTTCTTTTTGGTAGATAACGTACCTTCTTTCATGAATGCGCTAAGGTATGGCAACTCCTGGAGCACAGAGATGTCGGGAACTACCTTCGCATCAGCCATGGCCTCGTCCAGTTCAGCTTGGAGCTTCTTCATGATATCCGGGCGGCGGCTTAGCTCCCAAAACATGTACGCCATCGTCGTCGAGGTCGTATCGGAACCAGCTACCCTAAAAGGGTGAAAGAAAACCTATGTGTTGAATGTATCATCAACACCCATAGGTGGAGTGGCTTACAGATGGCCCATACACTCTGAAATGATGTCATGATCAGGCATTGCTTGGGTAGTCGAATACCGGTACTGGAGGAGTCTCTGGAGCATGGGAACCTTTTCGGCCTCGCCAATCATGCCAGCATTCATCTGTGCGCGCATCTCATAAACGCGCTCGCTGACGAACTACAACGTATATGCGGTCACTACCGAGATTGTCGCGAAAGAAACAAATGTCAGCGTACCTCGGCCATTATTTTGTCAGAATCACAAAGCTGCCTCCAGCGCTTGTTCGGGATCCGGCAGACGAGATTCCAGGCCCATGTTGGAACAATACTGCGCTACAACAGGCCCAGAGAAGGTCAACGGAATAAACGCAGACACAATATTTATGCTTACAAGAATACCACGTTTGGGAAAGTCGTTTATCGCCGTGGAGAGGGGTTCTTCCACATCCATGGCCCACTTACTCACTGCTCCGAGGCGATAACCGTAGGAAGAGGAAGCCACCACATCAACCATGAGGTGTCGGAATAGAGCCAAGCACTCCACGGGAGACTTTCCACACACATTCTCAAGTGTCTGGAATTGGTCATCATGTTAGCGAATACGGTGACAAAGAAGAAGATCCCTCTTACGTTCACAAGTTCAAAAGCGATTTCTCGCATTTCCGGCTGAAATTTAGCGACGTTAGTGGGCGTGTAGTGAGGCGCATAACCCTTTCGGCGAATGGCATGGCTAGAATGTTCGAGGGTGGTCATACTAAGTGAAATGAGCCTTCAAAGGTAGCATATATGCGCATATATACATACGCGTGATCGTTATCGTTGCTAGAAGAGTGTGTTGGTGAGTATAAGAATGGAGGAAAAGCAATAGAAAAGGCGCACGTCAACAGACTCTTATAGTAAGTGCTCTTATCGAACTTGTGGATGGTATAGACGTTGCGCATGGTTGACATATCACGAAAGACGACTTTGTTAGGTCCAATGCGGACGACCGGGCCATACACCTCAAAGAGCTCCTGGATCGTTTGACATTGGCGGAGACGAACGACGTGGATTGTAATCCAAAGATCAGAGATAGCCGCATACCAGGGGCCGGGGATAGCGCTGAGTGGAGAGAGGAAGAGGTTGTAGATGACGCGGATGAAGAGGTACGTGAAGACGACGGAGGCAACGACGAGGAAGAAATTGTGGGAGAACCAGGTGGCGGTAAATTGTATAGCGAACGCCATTGTCGTGCGGAATTCAAGCAGGATAGGAGGGAGTATCCAAAAATCGCTTGCGGGCGCTGAAGAATCCCGTGGAGTGGAAAGGGGAATAGTGGGGGGAGAGGAAGGAAGAGATGGGGCAGGTCGACAGCTCCTGTCCACTATATATATGTATTCTCGGAGACTGCTGACCAATCTCCATCGTCGAATGTCTGTCTCTGTGGACGCCAGAGTAGATGTAAAATGAGCGACGCAACACCAGTCATGGTGTCGAAAGCACAACAATTTGACTTCAATCTCCGCTCTACGTAATTTCCGAATCGGGTTAACAAGCTACCCATTTAGCATATCACGTGCATGGAGACGCGTCTTGACGCGTCCATCGGCAACCTATCACGTCTCTGCATTGCGCCACTAAATTACCGGACGTGTCCTTGCCGCTATACCCCTCCGCAAGATTCTAGTTTCATCGTCTACTAATCGTACTATGAGTCTGTAGCAACAAAAGCGAGCCTTATTTGCATCCGGCTCGGGCCGCAGTCAAGCGGAACGGACATCTTCTCTTCCTCGCCATTCCCCGAGTTTCTTTACGGTAGGTACTGCAGTACACTCCCTCTACCTCCCTCAGGCTCTCTTCATCAACTGACCCCAGTTTTCTGATTGGCTTTCTGACAAACCGTGCTCAACATGCGATCTGACTGCATAGGTTATGCTCTGGAAAATCCTTACAGGTTCTCTTCGCTGCGCCACCCAGATTGGTGTAAGCCTCAGATCAGCAACTCGGACGCCCGTCACATTCACTGCTCTTGACAGGCCTTTGGATTGACTCGGGCAGAGAAGGGCGTCTCGCGATGTGGACGGTATATGAAAGTCTTTTCAAGACTCCCTCGTTACCATATTCGCCGATGATCGATCCTTCCTTGCCTCGTTGCCTATGGTCCTTCTGCAACGTTATCATTATGCCATACGAATCCAGGACGTGCATGTCAGATAACCCTTCGAATCGCCACTGTCCAGGCGTCTGAGAGGTCTGTCTTCATGTTTTATAGCTGCATAAGCATTCGTCATTGACATGAAGTCCTTGCGCCCCGCAAGCGCCACAAGATCCGAGATGAGATCCAAAGTCTTTCTGCGCTCGAGTTAACAAGGTTAAGCTCGAGATCTCTGAGTTCCAAATTCACTTTGGCCCATTCTCCCATCGAAAATGTAATACTTATTCCTACCAACTGGCTTTGCCTCAGCAATCCAGATGGTCCGAAGGAGTTTGAAATTCAAGGTATTTTCTCCATGGTCACCTCGCTTTTCCCAGAAAGAAAGGCACCCTAATTGTCGCACCTTAGAATTTCAGTTCGGCGGTAAATTTCGGGACGCGATTAAAAACCTTACCCCAAGCCCAGCAACAGACTTTCTGTATTTCCTTTTCTGCCAGAGTGTGTTGGGCCGTCTAATTTGAATTTATTTTCTTTGGCAATGATCCTCCAACCACCGTCAAGCCTCCCACGATTTCTACGAGAAAAAACGACGGGGTATGATAAATTCGGTTCAATTGGAAGTCAAAGGAAAGGATGGGAAACGTGGCTGATAAGGGAATTGAGAAGGGTCTATGGGTACGAGAAGCCCGGCTCGCCAAGTCACATAACCCTGACAAATCCTCGAGATAATAGCCGCGCTCAAGAGCATACGCTAGGCACCGGTAAACCTGCTAGGGAGGGAGGGGCTATTAAAGGCCTGGCATTTAAATACAGGCGATATTTCCGTTGCAGTCGCCTGCTCAATCCAGTCAAGCTAGAATCCCATGAACTCCTAAGGCGCCGAAATTGATTCAGCGTCAAGTCACAAGTAGAGCGCGGAACTGGCACAATTCACTCTCGCTCCAGTCGCAAAGTCTGTGGTGCTCTGCAGGTGTCGTCAACGCCGGACAGTGGCACATGGATAGGCACGGCGCTCCCAAAGTATCCATATTCTTCGCTCGATAATCAAGGGCACAGCAATTTCAGGCAGGTATCCAATATCAAAATTTTCATGGGTCAACGGCTAAGTGGGGTTATACCGGCCTGAGCGCCGCCAGGATCCAACTCTCAGACCAGAAGACCTCCAAAATTTCCGTGCAAGGCGGCTACCATGCCTAATCCGCAAGCACAGCGTTATCCTCCCAGAAAAAACACCCAAGTCCATACGACCTCTATCCAGACTCCCCCAAGAGAAATGAATGACACGCGTCGTATGCACCACATCCGTGACGCCAAGACGTCAATTACCAAAGGCAAAGGGATGGGCGGACGCGCTGAGAGCACAGCGTCCAACACATGAGAGTAAGGCACATCACCAGATGTAGAGGGAAGAGCTGCTTCAGAGCCTCGAGGTGAGCGAAGCCTTATGCATTCATCACAGATAACAGAACACGAGGCGAATCAATGACATACTCCTGTCGTTGGTGACAGCTCCTAGGACGAGTTAGAGCGTCAGGGAATGCTTGAAGACCACGAGCTAGGAGTTGCTGGCGTCAATAAATCAAAGACAGAGCGCTCTCGACTGGAAAATTGATGAACATCGGATCCCCACCCGCGCCGCTTGATATAAACCACACACTGGACGACAGTTGTACGTTGAGGATAGGTGATCCTCACACCCCCGAGGCTCTAAGGTTCATGATTCGAAGCCGCCATCTAGAAAATCCTCACCCAGGTGCGGTTCTTTAGAGATACGAAGGCAGTGAAAGGTGTAATCGTCACCGGAGCTTCAAGTTGCTTTGCTTTGCTGGCAGAAAGGAAGCGGTTCCGATGAGGTAGGCTTACGACACCGGCCCGACCAGCGCAATATGGGCATAAAGGTCACGGACGCGTATTGATGTGCGTGCTGGACTGGAGTTGCAGGTAGCCCATTATCCATGACGCATGGTGGTTGGACAAAGAAACGCAGCGGCGGTGGTGGCGGGTGGGGCGCAAAGCACCGACATGCAGATGGTGATTAATGCATCCATCACAAGATGGCCAACGCGAATGCGTGGATCAACCCCAAGGAATTATGAAGTTCCCTTTGCCAGACCCGATGCTCACGAACTTGTCATGGAGATGCAATTTAAGGGATAGATGCACATGTTCCGGCGTCGACGTCGGTCGATTTGTGAGAAGCCTGTAGTCATGTTTCTGGTCAGTTCGTCGTTCTGAATGTTGGGTTTGTATGTTTGCGAAGTGCGAGGCGACCGGTGCCGAGTAGCGAGTCTCCTGAGTCCTGTTGTGCCGAAAGGTTATAAGATCGATGGCGCGGGACACAAACGGCGAGATCACGAATCAGAAATCTAGACTTCCAGCTAAACGCATCGGTCCGGGCGCCAAGTTTATGTGGTTGATCTGCTTTATACTTCATGGCGTCACTTAATGTCTCATTGGATTCAAGTCAGGCTGGAGATACATACTTGTTGATATCAGGATCGCGAATTAATCAAGACTGTCGACGTCAATCTATAGACGCAGGCATCGCCAAGGAGCAGCATATGTATAAGAATGAATTCTGCTGAGACGAAAGCCTGAATCAGTGACGCTTGCTCGGGGAAAGATATCGAGAGTGCACCTCGACGCTTTTTAATCTTCAACTCAAATGGATATACTCTGCATGGAGGTGGCACCGGAAGTTTAACTTCCTTTCATCTTGATGTAATCCCGTTCGGCATGTACGTGCCTGTATTTTTTTCCTGTTTTTCTGTAGAAAAAATTCAAAGTGCTATGACGAGTAATTCTCGTCTTTGGATGCGGGGAAGAAGTGATCGACCTGTGTCAATAATCAACCATCGCGTAGAGTATGCATTGAAGGGACCTGTACCGGACTTAAAGAAGTGGTGCGATCCAAAGAGGCCTTATAGTGCTTTGACACTTTCTTGGGATGAACGTCACCATCGAGAGTGAGTGGGAATTTTTCTCATGCAGATTCTGTGGTTGTAGGAGTACTCACGGGCCGTAAGAATTGCATCTGCACACTCAGAATCCCCGCCTTCCTGATTTTGAACCTTTCGGGTCCAGGTGGCTTGACAGGACTGAATGGCTGTCGATTATTTGACGTTCCTCTTTTAGTCGACAAAAAAACTGCGTGTCAATATTCTGGCGCTGTACGGGTGTGAACTCGAGTTGCAAAGAAAGAAATTGAAAAGTACATGCCACCATCATCTGATTCGTCATAGCCGAGAAAAAAGGGGTTTTTCGATTCCGACTTGTTCCCGCGCTGGACGAACAACGTTCTGCGTTCTACAGAAAACTGTGAACAAATTGTCAGGTTACTGCGGTGTTGAATCGTTTGATTGATAGATAGATAGAGGTTTGAAGTTCCGCATTCCGCATTTCGATGTTCGTTGAACTAGACTATATATATTTCTTCTGCGAAACGGCGTCTGAGTCGACTTGCAGTTTGAGTGGTGGGAAGATAAAGGGGGTAATGTGACCATGAGACCCAGAATACTGGAGAACCTTGGCACACAGGCCTCTTCCTCGTCCAAAAGGACGACCTGTGGGGAGGAGTGGTTGATGTCAAGCAGACAAAAAGAAAATATTACGTAACTCTCCTTATCTCTTGCACGATCATCTGCAGCAACGGATTGCAAGTTCTCTCCAAACTGCTAACATCTGTGTCGGCCGATTTTACTCAGGCTCAAAATAAAGTTCAACCTAAGTAATCCATTGCAGATATATTCCAAAACAGTTCTCAGCGTGCCACACACAGGTTACTGAAGATGGACAAGTCACCTTGTGCTTCCTATCTCCACACCAACTACTCCCCCACGGCTTCAGAAATTCTTGAAATCAAAGATTTTCTAGCAAAGCCACTTGCACGGTTAAACCATCTAGAAGACGAGATTAACCGGTTGAATGCAATCATCGAAAAATTATGCGACGAGCATGAGGCTTTGAACGCGGAAATCGAGGCTCACAGAGCTCTTATCTCTCCTCTTCGTCGAATGCCTCTTGACATTATGGTGGAGATCTTCACCCATTGTCTCCCTACAGAACACAATGCCGTCATGAGCACTCGAGAAGCTCCACTTCTGCTAGGTCGTGTTTGTAGCGAATGGAGATCCATCACACTGTCAACTCCACGCCTTTGGGCAAGCCTTCACATTCTATCGTCGCCACTAGGGTCCTTCTTTGGCGATTCTGCGCCTGATTTCGAGATTGAAAAATGCCGCAAGGGGGCAGAGGAATGGATTCGCCGCTCGGGAGAGTGTCCTCTCTCTCTCTCCCTTCACATTCCAAGTCCCATTTATCATTTCAAAAGTTCTGTGATGCAACCTTTTGAGAAGGTTTTGCAACAGATACTCCCTTCTAGCAAACGATGGAAGGACTTCAACTGCAGAGGCCGAAACGACTCGTTTACTCATTTCCGAAACATTGCGGAGAGTGATGTTCCGATGATGGAATCTCTTGGAATTACCATCGTACCTGGAACGGTTTCAGAGTTTTATGTTGAGACTACCGTGATGGACATTTCAGGTCTCCTTTCAGCCCCAAAATTGCGGAAGCTCTCGTTGACAAGTTTTAGAGAAAACCTTCTTTCCTTGCCAGTGCGTTGGTCACAGCTCACCCAGCTTACATTGAATGCGGAGGACTCCAGCAAATTTTCGAGAACGCTCATGTACAGCCAAGTTGGCAAAGTCTTGAAGAACTGCTTACAACTCGTGAGTTGTAGTCTTCGCCTCGGAAACACCCGACACAAGGATGTGCAGACCGCACAACTCAACCATTCAGTGTCCCCGAGCGAATACACTTTTACTCTCCCACTTCTCTGGAAGCTTTGCCTCATTTTCAGTGACAAATCAGACGAGGTGTTTTTGAAATACCTTGATTTACCCGTCCTTCGTCATCTGGAGATGAGCTTTGAAAGAGTTGGATGGCGTAATGGGCCTGACTCAAGGACGCAATCAACGAATCAGCGCTCTAATTTCATGGGCCTCCTCGAACAGCATGGTCATAAATTGAAGCATCTTGCCCTCGACACACGGTTACCTATTACCTCCCTTTATCAATTGAAGTCTACAACTGATTCTATTATTGATGAAGTTGTTGATCGGCTCACCCCTTCAGACGAAACCCCTGATTGTCTCTGTCCTGTGCTAGAAGAATTTCGGTGTAAAGGCTCAATGGGCGCAAGCTTTTCTGAAGCACGTTTGCTATCTTTTGTTGAAAAGCGGTGTGTTCACGGGGAAGGGTCGACATTGAAACGAGCTGGTGTCGCCCTTCATCGAAACGAGCCAGAGGACCTTGAAGACTTCCTTATTTCTCTGGATTCTAGGATTGAATGTGGAGACTATCTTCATTTTGAAGAGCTTGATAACGCACCAATTGACGCACGCATATTCGTTAGATCTAAGCTGGGCGAGGGACTCGCTGCGACGGTTGTGGACATTCAGTACGCACAGAGCGAACCGGAGCAAGAAGAAGAAGAGGATCACACCTCGGAGTCACTGACTCCATGCTTTATTCTTCGAATTTAGCCCCTTTTCACGATGACACCAACGTTTTTTAGGTTTCCGTGGTCTTTGATTCAGTAGTCATCTAATGTCTTCATGTACCACCGAGCATCATCAGGAATTGAACCAGTAGAAATCGCAGTTATACTGCCCAAGACTTTCTTAGTCTTAGCTGAGTACACCGAAGTAGCGCATGATATATTCGCGGTACGACAGAATGTTTTCACACAAAAAGGTTTCTTGTCATTTTTTGACTCGGGGCTGCAACCAGTTGAAGGCGGTGTTTTCTATCAGGTGTAACGATAGCCCGAAGAATGACATTTTCCAGAATAAAAATTAAAGTTCATTTCTGAAGTGCTCGTTGTGTTTTGCGACTCACCGCTCTCTCATAGTGTATTCTTCGACTTTGCCCAAAATAACGATTCCCCTTCAATGCAGTGAAGGGGTACGGACGTAGGTGTAGTGTCACCTAGATGGATACGGGATTTAATTTCAAAGTTTCGGAGGAGTTCAAGAGTCCGCGCTTACCATCACTACGCATTCATGGAGTTTTTAGCGCTGCCCAGCACTATCAGACTCGGGGATGAGCCCAAATCACTCTGCCCAAGAGTAGTCCAAATTGTGGGTGAGAGACTCCATGCAATTGCAAGCACCGCATGGTAAAAATGAAGTCGTCCCTAGATAGCGAGGCAGGCCTTTGAGTTCGTGATTGTCGCCGGTCGCGGACTAATGATAAATTTGTTTTTTCTTATGCTACTCGGGATAAAAAGTAGACTTTCGAAGACGCGTAGCAACAACCCAAAGAATTTCATTCAAGCCCAGAGTTTACATGATTATCCATGAGGGACAGCTTTGAAACAGCCTAGGTCGAGTACTTTCCAGCAAGAGAATTTTGTGTGGTCCGTTTGCTGCACACTGATGATGCCTATTGATCGCCAAGCAATTTTGTGTGCAGGTCGGAATAGGTCGGAATAGAGATAAAAGAGTGGAAGGGGAATGTGAAATCCCTTGTTATTCTTCGGTCTGTAGCTTTGGGCTTCCGAGTGGAGGAGCGAGGAAGATCCCGGCCCGGATGCGGCCGTTAATCATCAAAATTGCAAGCGTCTAAAAAGTTGCATTCAACAGCAATTCAACAGTGTACTCTCTGAAAATGCCTTCAGTTCCCATTCAAAGCCCAGGAAAATAGGCTGGTCGATATCTAGTTACTATCGGCCGTTCGGCGGCATTCAAGTTTGCCTTGCCAAGTTGCACATGCCACTGATCAGTTCGAGTGACGGAGAGCGAGAACAATGTGACCATGAGACCCAGAATATCTGAGAACCTCGGCACACAGGCCCGTGCGGAGGAGTCTCCTTTGTTGAACAGAGACAAAAAAAAAGTGTTACGTAACTCTCCTTAACTCTCTCCTGCACCACGATCATCTGCAGCAACAATTGCAAGGGATTGCAAGTTCTCGTCGCCTGATCGTACTCAGGTTCAAAATCAAGTTCAACCCAAGTAATCGATATTTTCTAAAACAGTTCATCAGCGTGCCTCACACAGGTTACCGAAGATGGACAAGTCACCGTATGCTTCCTATCTCCACACCAACTACTCCCCCACGGCTTTAGAAAACCTTGAAATCAAGGATTTTCTAACAAAGCCACTTGTGTGGTTATCCGGTATAAAAGCCGAGATCGACCGGGTGAACTTGATTGTCGAAAAATTATATGACGAGCATCGCGCTCTGAATGCAGAGATCGAGGCTCACTGAGCTCTTCTCTCTCCTCTTCGTCAAGTACCTCTTGACATCATGGAGGAGATTTTCACCCATTGTCTCCCTACAGATCACAATGCCATCATGAGCATTCGAGAAGCTCCACTTCTGCTAGGTCGTGTTTGTAGCGAATGGAGATCTATCACACTGTCAACTCCACGCCTTTGGGCAAGCCTTCACATTCCAGCACCGGCACCACACTCCCTCTCTGAATATTTTGCATCCATTCTCAAAATTGAAAAACAATGCAAGGGGACAGAAGAATGGATTCGCCGCTCAGGACAGTGTCCTCTCTCTATTTCCCTCCACACTCCAAGTCCCCATTATCGTTTCAATATGGCTGAAATGCAACCTTTTGTGGAAGTTTCAAAGTGGATACTCCCTTCTACCAAAAGATGGAAGAATTTTAGCTTCAAAGCGCCAACAGACTCGTCTCCTCATTTCCAAAAGATCGCGGAGGGAGATGTTCCGATGCTGGAAGCTCTTGGAATTACCATCGTACCCCGAACGATTTACATTTCAGGTCTCCTTTCGGCCCCAAAATTGCGGAAGCTCTCGTTAACGCGTTTTAGAGATAACCTTCTTTCCCTGCCAGTGCATTGGTCACAGCTCACCCACCTTACATTGGATGCGGAGGGCTCTAGTAAACAATTCTTGGGAATGCCAAGCCCCCTCACGTACAGAGAAGTTAGCAAAGTGTTGAAGAACTGCTCACTACTCGTGAGTTGTAGCCTCCGCCTAGGAAACACCCCACGCGAGAATGTACAGATCCCACCACTAAACATCTCAGTGGGACCTTCCTTGGACCTGAACCACGTGGCACCCCGACTAGGACCCCGAAAAACTTTGGGCGACTCGTCGACTGCAACACACAGTCTGGCCTATATACAGTTTCCAAAAACTTTTATACTAGTACCAAACCAGCTAATAACAATCTCAGAGCATGTCTGGGACCAGGCTGAAGCCCAAAAGTCAGGCGGCTCCGCCACAAAAAGGTAAAGTGACGACCACTCGACAAAATCGACCAGCCGACACAGAAGTACAGGAACGTGGAAAGACGAGAGCCACCGGGTCGGTGGAGACAGACGAATACGAGCACGAAATCGGCGACTCAGATAAAGGGAGATCTTTCCTCGAAGGAAGGCTGCTCATGGTTCCGGCGGGGGCACTGCTCACTTTGGGTGCACTCGCCACAACGCTCTTCCAGATCGCGGCCATGCCAGGCGTTGCCCTCCCTGTGGTTAACGCAGTATGCACGGTCGCTTTTCTGCTAAGGGACGTCGAACTGGAAGTAGTGGCAGAAGACATCAGGGATATCGCCATTGCCCAGTACAACGAATTGACCAACGACTTGAAGGATTTCACGGAGGGGCTCAGGGTGAAGGTTATGGAGGAGTTGGAGAAGAAGACGGAGGTGTTGAAAGAAAAGACAGTGGAACTAGCAGAGGTGGTCGAAAAAGTGGCACAACAGGTGGGGAACACAGCCAGCTCCCCATACAGGGACACGTTGACAAGGACGGCCTCTGGAGCCCCAATGGATGCCAATCCTTGTCTAGCTGCAAAGGAGAACATCAGGCAATGACAATCTCTAATCGACCTACCCAAGGGATCAAGCCTCAGCAATTGCGCCAATCCGGTTCTGGTGGGTAAGTTCGCGGAGGCAATGGGAAGGGCGACAGGACAACAGCACAAAATCAGGTTGGCTTTGAAGCTACAAAACGGCGGTATACTGGTAGAGATGGTCACAGATGACGGCGCGGCCTGGCTGGCCTCCAAGGCCAACGCAGAGGCCTTCCTGCAGGAGCTCGGTGAAAAGGAGGCCTCTTTCAAGACGAGGTCGTTCAACGTCATCGCCTACTACGTGCCGCTGAACCTGGATGATAACAGTGAGAAGGACAGGGGGGAGATCGAAGAGATGAACAACATACCAAAGGGCACATTGACGAAACTAAGGTGGATCAAGCCCCCAGCACGTAGACGACCAGACCAATGTTTCGCCCATGTAATTGCCACATTCTCAGACGCGGAATCGGCCAACCGGGCGATAGTCAACGGTCTGTCGATATGTCACAAGAGGGTATCAGTAGTGAAGTGCAAGAAGGAGCCCATAAGGTGCCTCAAGTGTCAAGGCTGGGACCATGTCGCTCTGGAATGCGTCATCGCAAAGGAGGTGAATGTGTGCGGTACATGTGGGGGGGATCATTGGACGAGTAAGTGCTCAGTGCAAGACGTTGTTCACTGCAGGTCTTGCAGGACAGACTCTCACACAAGCTGGGACCGCGGCTGTCCGACCTTCCTCCGGAAAATAGAAGAACTCAATGCCAGGGATCCGGCCAATGACTTACCTTTCTTCCCAGCAAAGGAATCGTGGACATGGGCAGCATCCTACCCATCCTACGGTCGTTGAGTACCACAGGCTGAGATTCATGTTAATGCGGTACAACCAGGCTCACAGAAAGACAGATACAGGCAGACTCATCTAGGTTTCGAGCCCACGGCCCCAGGTGGAAGACCGTACACCAGGGACCCACGGGCGGGTCAGCAATCGAAGACCCCAGCGGATAAGTCTCCTCCTCCTGTTTTCCCTAACCCAGAATCTTCTATAGCTCCTTTGGCTTCAAGTAACGGCTCAACGCCCCCCGATAGCCCCCCCACCCAAGTCATTGCCCATGTCTGAACAACCGGAACACTTGCCGACTAGGTTACGGATCTTACAGATAAACTTAAACAAGTCATCAAAGGCGCATTTGGAGCTCTACAACAGGGTATCGAGGAAGGATTGGGATGTCGTTATGGTTCAAGAGCCGCACGTGACGGCAATGGGCAATATCAGGATGCTGAACGGATACGTAGCGGTTGTGCCAGTGGACCGATACAAGGACGACGCACCAACAACAAGGGCGGTAACATGGGTCAGCTCCGACTTAGCAACCAGCTCATGGAAGATTCTCAACATACCCGGCACAAACGATATCACAGCTATTCAACTAACTGGACCTTACGGGCGCCTGACCATCCTCAACATATACAACGACTGCACACATTCAAGAACCCTACGACTAATACGCAAATATTTACGCACTAACCGAACTGATATCCTATCGAGGGCGGACGACCAGTTAATACTTGCGGGTGACTTCAATAGGCACCACCCCATGTGGGATGACAAAACAGACAATAGGCTCTTCACGCCTGTGGCATTGGAGGAGGCGGGAAGGCTAATTGAGTTACTAGCTGACCTTAATTTGAAGATGGCCCTACCAAAGGGGCAGCCGACGCTTGAACATATGGTCACCAAGAAGTTTTCGCACCCAGACAACTTTTGGTGCACGGAGGACATCTACGACCTGGTAGTTCGATGCGAGGTTGACCCCTTGCTCAGGCCGCCGGTGACTGACCACTTCCCCATAGCGACTTACATTACCCTTCCACAAGAACGTGTAGCGCCGAAGACATCATACAACTTCAGGGCCGTCGACTGGGACAACTTCCAAGAAAACCTGGCTGACCGATTACTCGAGATACCGCCCCCTCAGATACTTAGGATGGAGCAGCAGTTTAAGGAGGCTGCAGAGGAGCTGACAGCGGCTTTACAGGATACGATTCGCACTAGGGTTCCAATGAACAAACTGTGCCCCTTCTCCAAGAGATGGTGGAATAGCGATTTAAGTCGATGGAAAACCAACATGAAAAAGCTAAGTCGCTTAGCATATAGATTCAGAGCCTCGCCAGATCACGAATCTCATGCAGAGTTACGAACGGCAAGAGATGAATACGGCGAGGCGATCATAGAGGCTAAGCGCGGACACTGGGAGGACTTCTTGGAGAATGCAGCAGAGGTGGATCTGTGGACGGCCAACCGTTATTTCAAGGAACCAATAGGAGACGGAGGCAAATCGCGTATCCCAAC